GGGGTAGTCCCTCCCCATTGCCTGCGTAGCCCCCCCCCCCCCACTGCTCGGGGTAGCTCCAGTGTCGATGCCGTGACACCTGCCCTTGAAAACGATCAGTTCCAGCAGAGCACGGGCATTTGGCCGCTGCGGTTGAGTCGTGCTCATGGTTGCAGCCATCGCTGCGGTTGCAGCCATCGCTGCGGTTGCTCAACTGCGGACGTGCGGTTGCGCTGGATGTTGCGGTTGCGCGGTTGCTAGCTGGTCACCTAGGCGGTTGCAGATGAGGATGGCGTACGACCAGGTGATGGTCTTGCTGCTCTGGAAGAGGTAGCAGCTGCTGCGGAACGGGACCCACGCCGTGCCCTTCGGATCCTCCGGGCAGCGTCCCTCCACCTCGGGAGGGACTGTCGGTGGCTTGACTGGCATGTGCCGGGGGTCGGGAGGTGCACACGGATCAGATAACTCGACAGAACAGCATGAAGGCCGCAGAGTACATCATCGTCGTCGTCATTAGCCGTGATGAATCCACCGGCCTCCTTCCACTGAGCCGCCACTACCACTTTTCAAGCATCCTGCGATGCAACGATCCGCCCCGCACGCAAACGGATCTCGCCATCGCTGCATCTCCTCGGTGGACGTGTACTTTTTTTAATGTATATTCGAGATAGAACAACCACCACTGGGTTATCGCTAAATCACTGTGAACACCTAAACGCGACGATGCCGGGTGGGTGAGCGAGCGGGTGGGCAAGCAGGCAGGCGAGCGTGCGGGCGAGCGGGCGTGCGGGTGAGCGGGCGAGCGGGCGGGCGTGCAAAGGGCAGACGAGCAAGCGGGCGAGCGGGCGAGCGAGCGGGCGAGCGGACGGGCGAGCATGCGGGCGGACGAGCGGGCGTGCGGGCGGACGAGCGGGCGAGTGTCGCGGTGCAGTTGGCACCGTGCCACTTCTTGCAAAGCACGGGCATTTTGCTGCTGCAGTCGGCGACGGTCCAGAGGCCCTGATTTTGTGCCGCGGCCACGCAGCTCCCGGCGTCCGTCGGCTGCTCCGGCGCCCAGTAGGTCACCGAGGTCGGCCAGCCATCGGTCCAGCCAAAGTCGCCGCCGGTCTGCGGTGCAGTCATGCAGAGGGATGGAGACGGAGGGAGAGACACGGTGGGAGCCCCGTGGAGGGCGACGGTGCGGGGGCAAGCTGCTGCTGCTGCTGCGTTGGGCAGGCGAGGGGTCGCTTGTCCCCCTAATCCCAGGCATCATCGCGACCCCCGTCAACACAGCGCGCCTGTCGCCTGGCAACCCACGCGGACCAGTGGGAGGTCGTGCACTCTCCTGCCTCTCCCCCCCCCATTATCCTGTTGTGCATTCGCAGCAGCACCGTTGTGCACAGACTTTAAAGAGACACTTGAAGGCCCCACCACTTTCTTAAAGGCCCCACTCCGCACCTTAGAGTCGTGGTCTCTCGACTGTCGCGAAATATCGCGCGCGTGCGCCCGTCACAAATCGCATCATTATTACAACGACATTATTATCGGTCCAGCCGATAATAATCATCTTAATTGACACGACAGCCACCCCTTGCCAGGACTGACCAGGTTCCCGTTGAGCCCGATCCAGAGCGGCCTCGTGAGGTGGACGATGAGGGCGAGCATGGCCTGCTCGTAGGGGCTCACAACGCTTGCCACGTCCGCCCGCTGTGCCCGGCACGCCGACCGCGCCGCCGTCCAGCCCAGGGGCGTCTCCAGCACCCGGAACTCGGCGTCGCCAAAACGCATGAAGCCGGCCAACGGAACCGCTTGCTCCCGGTTCGGCAGCAATGGGTCTGGCGGGACAGGGGCGGGGGCGGTCGGCAGGAAGGCCGTCTGTAGTGGGTACAGGGCCCACGTCGTCCTTACGGCTCTGCGTGGCTGTCATCGTCGTCGTCACCGAGGAGGGCGCTGCTGCGTCCCATAGACGCGGCATGGATGGGAGAGCCAAATCATCCGGAGCATGTGTACCCACGTGGCAACTTTGTTTGATTGACTCTGTCGCTGGGTGGTAGAGGGCTGTCGTAATTTTACATTGTGCCTGCACGACGACCTGACCCAAAAGAGACAAACAGTTGAGTCAGAATATCTGGTCGGGAAAACCTGCCTGTGAAATTAGCTCCCTCGAGCAATGCCCTGTACCCTCGTGGTGAACAGGCCCCAGTGGTGAACAAGCCCCAGTGATAAACAGGCCCCAGTGGTGAACAGGGCCTAGTGGTGAACAGGCCCCAGTGGTGAACAAGCCCCAGTGATGAACAAGTTCTAGTGGTGAACAGGCCTAGTAATGAACAGGCCCCAGTGGTGAACAGGCCTAGTGGTGAACAGGGCCTAGTGGTGAACAAAGCCTAGTGGTGAACAGACCCTAGTGATGAACAGACCCCAGTGATGAACAGGCCCCAGTGATGAACAGGCCCCAGTGGCGAACAGGCCCCAGTGATGAACAACAGGCCCCGTGCCCCAGGGAATGCCTTGCACCTTTGTTCTGCGTGCAGATGAAGCCGTGCTTCCCATCGCAGTGCACGTCCTCCCACTGCCCCACGGCCTCCATCTTGCTGGTGGCCAGCAGCAGAGCACAGTCTTGCTGTCCCCACCACCACCACGACAGAGACAAACATCGCTCATATAGCCTCGTAACAGTTTTGGAGCAAGTGCTGTAAGCGAGTAGCAGCACCTATGAAGGCCGACATTGCGGTACACGAGGGGGTGGGTGACCGGCACCACCACGCCCTGACTCCGCATCAGGCACTCATATGAGGCCGATTCAAACTCGGGACGGCCCAGGACTGCTTCTTATAATTATCCGTGACGTTAGCAATGAGCGGCAATCGAATCCGGTTCGCCGGGTTCGTAGCGCTGAGCGCTAAATGCACCACCGCACTACACCTCCAACACCAATACACCACCACCATCACACCAACATCATCCCACCACCATCCCACCACCACACCAACAACACCACCACACCAACAAAACCACCACCACCACCACCATCATACACCACCACACCGCCACCGAGATTGAGGGGTGCATGCGAAGTGACCGCTGTGATTAAACAGCGCCGATCGAAGCGGCACAACGGGGAGTCGCGACGGGAAATCAATGCCAATCGAGTCAAATTAGCTGCGCGATTTTTGTTTCTTCTTTCTAATTTGGACCGCGACTGCCAAGCACACAACGGCCAACTTTTGTTTTGCGAACAGCCGTCACGGGGATGTTTCACGTTCACCGCGAGCGAAGGAGACGGCGCGTAGCAGTAGCGGCGGCATCAATGCGACGGTTAATACCGCACCGCGCCGCAGAATTAACTGGATTCGAATCGCGGACCTCCGCAACAAACAAGCTGCGTTCGCGCATCCCCGACCCCGAGACGAGGCAGGGTGGGGCGGCGAGAATCCGTACCCTGCTGTGGGTCGATCGCGGAGACTTCGGGGCCCAGTTGGTGAAGAGGACGGGCACGCCGCTGGTCCACAGGAAGCGCCCCTCCATGTTTCGATCGTTGAGGCCGATCCACATTCTGCCGTTCACCGCGGCCAGGTTGCTGACAATGAAGGCTGCGACAGAGACAAAGATCGCCCCCCCCCCCACCCATATAGGTCGTTAGGGCGAGTGCTGCGAGCGATGTGCCCATGAAGGGCGACGTAGCGCACGAGCGGAGTTGTGTAGACAGCACCGCGGCTGACTTTTGTCTGCCCCGGCGGTGATATTTACTCACCGCACCAGGTGCAGTGCTCAGTGTTTGAGCAAAATAATGGGGGAGAGGTATGAGAGTGCATGGAGGGGAGTGAGATGAGAGGGGAGAGGTAGGAGAGTGCATGGAGTATAGTGAGATGAGAGGGGAGAGGCAGGAGAATGCGTGGAGGGGAGTGGAGTGAGATGAGAGGGGAGAGGCAGGAGAATGCGTGGAGGGGAGTGGAGTGAGATGAGAGGGGAGAGGTAGGAAAGTGCGTGGAGGGGAGTGAGATGAGGTGGGAGATGCCAGTAACGTCCACGGTGGAACTTGAACGGGGACGTGGAGTGGACAGGGCAGATCGCTGAGGGATGAAGTTGGGGTGGGAGTTCCAGGCAGTGGGGACAGCAGATGAGAAGGAGTGAAGGAGCGGGGGGAGGGAGGTGAAACCCGCTGACCTTGTTCCCTCCAGTTGTTAATGGAGACCAGGTCACCCCCGGCCGTGCGGCAGACGTTGCGACTGTTGATCCACGTGTCCCACTCGGACTCGTTGGAGTGGAACCTGTAGCACTTCAACGACAGCCGCACCACCACCACAGGGAGCACTTCAACGACAGCCGCACCACCAGCACACGGAGCGCTTCAACGACAGCCGCACCACCACCACCACACGGAGCACTTCAACGACAGCCGCACCACCACCACAGGGAGCACTTCAACGACAGCCGCACCACCAGCACACGGAGCACTTCAACGACAGCCGCACCACCACCACCACAAGGAGCACTTCAACGACAGCCGCACCGCCACCACCACAAGGAGCACTTCAACGACAGCCGCACCACCACCACCACACGGAGCACTTCAACGACAGCCGCACCACCACCACCACAAGGAGCACTTCAACGACAGCCGCACCACCACCACCACATGGAGCACTTCAACGACAGCCGCACCACCACCACCACACGGAGCACTTCAACGACAGCCGCACCACCACCACACGGAGCACTTCAACGACAGCTGCACCGCCACCACACGGAGCACTTCAACGACAGCTGCACCACCACCACCACACGGAGCACTTCAACGACAGCTGCACCGCCACCACCACACGGAGCACTTCAACGACAGCTACACCGCCACCACCACACGGAGCACTTCAACGACAGCCACACCACCACCACAGGGAGCACTTCAACGACAGCCGCACCACCACCACCACACGGAGCACTTCAACGACAGCCGCACCACCACCACCACACGGAGCACTTCAACGACAGCCGCACCACCACCACCACATGGAGCACTTCAACGACAGCTGCACCACCACCACCACACGGAGCACTTCAACGACAGCCGCACCGCCACCACCACACGGAGCACTTCAACGACAGCCGCACCACCACCACCACACGGAGCACTTCAACGACAGCCGCACCACCACCACCACACGGAGCACTTCAACGACAGCCGCACCGCCACCACCACACGGAGCACTTCAACGACAGCTGCACCGCCACCACCACACGGAGCACTTCAACGACAGCCGCACCACCACCACCACACGGAGCACTTCAACGACAGCTGCACCGCCACCACACGGAGCACTTCAACGACAGCTGCACCGCCACCACCACACGGAGCACTTCAACGACAGCTACACCACCACCACCACAGGGAGCACTTCAACGACAGCCGCACCACCACCACCACACGGAGCACTTCAACGACAGCCGCACCACCACCACCACACGGAGCACTTCAACGACAGCCGCACCACCACCACATGGAGCACTTGAACGACAGCTGCACCACCACCACCACACGGAGCACTTCAACGACAGCCGCACCGCCACCACCACACGGAGCACTTCAACGACAGCTGCACCGCCACCACCACACGGAGCACTTCAACGACAGCCGCACCGCCACCACCACACGGAGCACTTCAACGACAGCCGCACCACCGCCACCACACGGAGCACTTCAATGACAGCTGCACCACCACCACCACACAGAGCACTTCAATGACAGCCGCACCGCCACCACCACACGGAGCACTTCAACGACAGCCGCACCACCACCACCACATGGAGCACTTCAACGACAGCTGCACCACCACCACCACACGGAGCACTTCAATGACAGCTGCACCACCACCACCACACGGAGCACGTCAACGACAGCCGCACCACCACCACCACATGGAGCACTTCAACGACAGCTGCACCACCACCACCACACGGAGCACTTCAACGACAGCCGCACCGCCACCACCACACGGAGCACTTCAACGACAGCTGCACCGCCACCATCACACGGAGCACTTCAACGACAGCCGCACCGCCACCACCACACGGAGCACTTCAACGACAGCCGCACCGCCACCACCACACGGAGCACTTCAACGACAGCCGCACCACCGCCACCACACGGAGCACTTCAATGACAGCTGCACCACCACCACCACACGAAGCACTTCAACGACAGCCGCACCGCCACCATCACACGGAGCACTTCAACGACAGCCGCACCGCCACCACCACACGGAGCACTTCAACGACAGCCGCACCGCCACCACCACACGGAGCACTTCAACGACAGCCGCACCACCGCCACCACACGGAGCACTTCAATGACAGCTGCACCACCACCACCACACGAAGCACTTCAACGACAGCTGCACCGCCACCACCACACGGAGCACTTCAACGACAGCTACACCACCACCACCACAGGGAGCACTTCAACGACAACCGCACCACCGCCACCACACGGAGCACTTCAATGACAGCTGCACCACCACCACCACACGAAGCACTTCAACGACAGCCGCACCACCACCACCACACGGAGCACTTCAACGACAGCTGCACCGCCACCACACGGAGCACTTCAACGACAGCTGCACCACCACCACCACACGGAGCACTTCAACGACAGCTGCACCGCTACCACCACACGGAGCACTTCAACGACAGCTACACCACCACCACCACAGGGAGCACTTCAACGACAGCCGCACCACCACCACCACACGGAGCACTTCAACGACAGCCGCACCGCCACCACCACACGGAGCACTTCAACGACAGCTGCACCACCACCACCACACGGAGCACTTCAATGACAGCCGCACCGCCACCACCACACGGAGCACTTCAACGACAGCCGCACCACCGCCACCACACGGAGCACTTCAATGACAGCTGCACCACCACCACCACACGGAGCACTTCAATGACAGCCGCACCACCACCACCACATGGAGCACTTCAACGACAGCCGCACCGCCACCACACGGAGCACTTCAACGACAGCTGCACCACCACCACCACACGGAGCACTTCAACGACAGCTGCCACCACCACCACACGGAGCACTTCAACGACAGCTGCACCACCACCACCACACGGAGCACTTCAACGACAGCTGCACCACCACCACCACACGGAGCACTTCAATGACAGCTGCACCACCACCACCACACGGAGCACTTCAATGACAGCCGCACCACCACCACCACACGGAGCACTTCAACGACAGCCGCACCACCACCACACGGAGCACTTCAACGACAGCTGCACCACCACCACCACACGGAGCACTTCAACGACAGCCGCACCACCACCACACGGAGCGCTTCAACGACAGCCGCACCACCACCACCACACGGAGCACTTCAACGACAGCCGCACCACCACCACCACATGGAGCACTTCAACGACAGCCGCACCACCACCACACGGAGCACTTCAACGACAGCCGCACCACCGCCACCACACGGAGCACTTCAACGACAGCCGCACCACCACCACACGGAGCACTTCAACGACAGCCGCACCACCACCACCACACGGAGCACTTCAACGACAGCCGCACCACCACCACCACAGGGAGCACTTCAACGACAGCCGCACCACCACCACCACACGGAGCACTTCAACGACAGCCGCACCACCGCCACCACACGGAGCACTTCAACGACAGATGCACCACCACCACCACATGGAGCACTTCAACGACAGCCGCACCACCACCACATGGAGCACTTCAACGACAGCCGCACCACCGCCACCACACGGAGCACTTCAACGACAGCCGCACCACCGCCACCACACGGAGCACTTCAACGACAGCCGCACCACCACCACCACACGGAGCACTTCAACGACAGCCGCACCGCCACCACCACACGGAGCACTTCAACGACAGCTGCACCACCACTACCACACGGAGCACTTCAACGACAGCTGCACCACCACTACCACACGGAGCACTTCAACGACAGCTGCACCACCGCCACACGGAGCACTTCAACGACAGCTGCACCACCACCACACGGAGCACTTCAACGACAGCCGCACCACCACCACCACACGGAGCACTTCAACGACAGCCGCACCACCACCACAAGGAGCACTTCAACAACAGCTGCACCACCACCACACGGAGCACTTCAATGACAGCCGCACCACCACCACACGGAGCACTTCAACGACAGCCGCACCGCCACCACCACAAGATGGCGCCACACTGTACACTGTACAACATCGCCATTGTACTAACCTCGCTAAGTGCAATCTCGGCTGCCATCCCTGGCGAGTACTCTAAATTAACTCGTTAGATTTAAAGTTGTTACAGGACATCCTTTTGGGTATCTTTCGTCATCTTTTTTCGGTACTTACATGTAAACAAGAAATCTCTGCAAATTTCTAACCAAATTTTGTTTTACCTCCCCCTCAGGAATGTGTGTGTATATTTTTTTGTGTATTGGGTGCAATTGTGAACAACAGCCGTATCGGACATAAGAGCTTTTTTTTGGGTTAGATCGCGTAAGTATATAAACGTGTCGTTAGAACCCACCACCACCCGACACAGCCAACTAGTAAAGGTTGTCACGTAAACGGAACGTGCCAATTCGTCACTAGTACAGCACTAACCGGTTGTGTGTTGGAGAGCCAAACCACAACATTTACAATCTGAGCACCGCGACGTTTTGCCAGTGACTACAACCAGCTTCATCAGGCGACAGCCAGATCTGCGGAGAAGTCCACCTGTTTCGTTCCTTATATAGAGGCGTAGATGTGGTGACCGCATCAGACGTGAGTACATCTGTGAGGGTTTATGTCTGGTGGCCAACACTATGTCTGTGTGTGGGGGGGGGGGGTAGCCTGCCAGAAATCTTAACGACTTCACCAAGCTGGCAAAGTTTACAAGTAGCAGAGCCACTGACAAACTGCTTGGTGGGCGACGCCCGCCACCCAAATCTGATTGGAAGGCATCACAGCATTCAAATCGGATTGGTGCAAAGGGAAGGGACGGGAAGATTCAAATAATTAATAAGGAACGGTTGATAAAGAGGTAAGGAGATTGGAAGAAAGAGGATAACCTGCTAAAAAGGGGGGGGGGGGGGCATACAGGACATATAGGGGGCCCGAGAGAAAGCTCGGGGCGCATCCTGGAGTGTCGCATGGTCCGTATGGTCTCTATGTGTTTGCACGTTATCTGCAAATAAACGATAGAGTTGAACTATACTTGCCTCGTCCCCAGTCCTTTTCACATATATCTAAATCGGCATAATCATTGGTACACTGCAGCTCAGAGACTCGCCCCTACTCGGCCTGTGGCGAAGCTAGGAGATGTCCATGGCTGAGCTCGGCATTTAAAGGCTCCAAGACCGGAATTTGTGATCTTGCCGACAATATATCGTAGGTGGTGAAGTGCGTTGTTTTATTTACGTTGTTTCACGTCACGTTGCATTTCGTAAATCGAGGACTCGCCACGAAACTTACTTTGGTCATAATTGATATGATTACTACTATTATTACTATCCTGGAGAGACACACGCCAAGTCCCGGGACTCGTGCTCCAGGAGGGGGTGCCGCTGCTACGTTGGGTTTTCATTATTTCGAAGACTGCTTCCCTGCCAATCGATTCGCGTGGGGAGAAACAGATACAGGCGGTCCTCGACTTATGAGCGCCCTAACTCACGAGCGCCTGCACTCAGGAACGACCACACTTACGAACCAGCTTCCATGAAATATAATTGTTTTACATTTATTATTATTTATGAGTTTAACAAAGCTTCCCTTTTTGTTGAACCGTAACGCTTTTCATAACACTAACCATACGGGCATTTAAATACACGGTGCAACTGTTGAGTTCCCGGCGAGACTTACCAACGGTTCGACTTACGAACCAATTCGACTTACAAACGGGTCTCCGGGAACGAAATTTAATTTTTCGTAACGCGAGAACTTGCCCGTACCTTGTTTCCAAAGGGCAGCCAGTCGGAGGGGCAGCCGCCGGCAGTGGGGGCGGTGGGGGGGAGCGTGGGAAGCCCCGCGGCCGACGCGTTGTTGCGCTCGCAGATGAACACCAGGGGCACGCCGCAGTTGATGTCGTTCCATTTCCCTGCGCCAGCCGCAGAAAACCGAGCGGGGCAATCGCCACCCCCACGCACCCACCGCCACACCGCATGCACCCCACGTCGTAAGTTTTGTGTAAAAAGGCCGGAGGGAAAGGGGGCCCCCTAAAAACTACGAAGCCACCAGTTGATCATCGATTATAATCCAGCACCGCACGCTTATCCGGCAGCTTCTAACATTTCATCCGGCAGTCCCGGGCCGATGCCGGGGAAACCGGGAGAAACTGCTCCAAATGCTGTAAACGAGTCCGGCGATCGTCAAACACGTCGTGGTTGTGTTGAAACAAGAGCGTAGTGGTGTGTGACAAAAAATAAAAAAAACATAATCAGTGTTCACCCTTTCTGGAAAATGAAAAACAAAAGGTGTTAAGATTTCGATTTAAAGCTTTCGTGACTGCAGGGATTCATCTTCTTGGTTATTTTGGTAAAGTCACGTAGAATGGAAATAAATAATAAAAATAAAACATAATTAAATAATTCTCACGACGTTTCGGCCACAACGCAAGCAGCCGTCCTCAGGTGAAGACGGCTGCTTGCGTTGTGGCCGCAACGTCGTGAGAATTGTATTGCGACTTTACCGAAAGAACCAAGAAGGTGTTAAGATGTTCAAACACCAAATAGAAACCTTTTTGCAAGGGATCAAGTTCGCATTAACCACACAGGTTCCTTCTGGTGAACTTCCAAACAAACACGCTCTGATAATAATCAATGGCGTTGTCTTTGAAATTGATTGGCCTACACCAGTGACAGTAGCAGCCTTCTTTAGGGCCTCGTCTGACTAGCAGTGTCAGCCCAGAGGCTAAATGAACTTGAACTAAATGAACTTGGAACTAACGCCAAAGGGCGGCTACGTAGTGGTGCTACGAACATCGCCCCATCGTGCAGAGTCTTCGAGATTGGAGTGATAAGTTCGGTACAGTAAATACAGGAACTTTTTACAGTTGCAAATTTATTTTTGTCTATTTGTATGCTTATTAAACACGTTTTAAAACACACGCAAAAACATACACACAACACCTAACATTTAATGTTATGCGAGAAAGTGCAAAAATTTGCTATTTCAAATAACGATGATGTAGTGATTATCCGGCGTGTTTAGAAATCCGGCATCCCCGAAGCCGCCGAATAAGACTGGTCTCCAATTTGTTAATCGGCGTCTGCTTCAGAAATGAAATGTGCTGTTTATTATGGATTTTGACGTTCTGAATTTCAAAAATGACAAACCAACTGATTGGCTACTGTTCTGAAGATATTTATGTTTTTACATTTCACGTCTATGTATATTGTGTAGATAGTATAGTTACTCTTTGGTTCTTTCGGTAAAGTCACGTAGGTGAAAAAATACAAATAATCAAACTAAATCACAAAAATATGGAACGCTTCACGAATTTGCGTGTCATTCGTGAAGCGTTCCATATTTTTGCGATTTAGTTTGATTATTTCTATTTTTAGTCTTATTTTTTCACCTACGTGACTTTACCGAAAAAACCAAAGAGTATGGATCCTTGCAGTCACGAAAACTTCAAATCTAGAATAGATAGTAGAGTTTTACTAGTAAATTTCAAACCTAGGTCTGTTCATGTCTTTATAGTTGCTTTACATAACATATCATCCGTCCTGTTCATGTGTAGTGACATAAGAAGGGAGGGGCTGCTGGGGGCTCTGGGTTCCCGGGCGGGTCCAGACGCTTAAGCCTCTGGGCGCCAGGCGCTGGGTTCCCAGGGGGTCCAGACGCTTAAGCCTCTGGGCGCCGCCAACGGGGGGGGGGGGCTGTGTGTGCTCTGTGGGATGTCTGGTGGCGCACACGGCCCCACCCCTTGTTGGACCAGGCATAAAAGAAGAGCTCCCTGGACAATCGGGGCCCAGTTGTAACTCAAGACCCAAGACCCACGACCAGCCATCTGAAGACCCTGGGATGCTGTGAGAGCCAGCGCTGGGACTCTGGAACTCCCGACTCTACGACCTTGTGAGGGCGAGTTCCGGAGCGTAGCCAGAGTAGAGTATCTAGGCTGTGTACCTAGGCTGTAACAGAGTATCAGGACTGTTGGAGAGTTGGACTGTTGGAGTGTTGTATTGTAATAAAGAAGTTACCTCTACAAGTGTCTCCGGAACCCGTTACACTTGTAACACTTAAAAAATCAGCAAAAGGGTTATATACTTACAATTTATTATGAAACAAAAGGCAAAAAACTATTATGTGTATATAAGCACATAGTTTAGTCCTTATTCGGTGTCTACTCAGCGCTTCTTGGCTTGTCTCTTGTATTCATTAAATGGAACGCCTCTTGTCACTGTCCAGCAGTAGTCTGCAAACATTGATGGGCTCCATTTGCCCTGATAGCGTTTCTCCTTTGTTGCAAATGTAGCCGGTCACGTAGGTAGAAAATAAATTAAATGTCGACGTTTCGGGCGCAACACAAACGTCCGTCATCAGGTGGGACGACCACAGCAAGAAACAATTCATAATCAACGTTTTTGGGTTTAGATCGCGTTATTTATAAATGTGTCGTAACCCTCCACCACCCGACAATTGCTGAAGTGGGCAAAAGGGCTGCCGTGACACGAGGCTATATAGGGAAGAGAGTGGGGGAGGAGCCAGGGAGGAGAGATAGAGAGAGGGTTAAGGGTAGGAGGTGTGTACTGTAGGAGGAGTGGAGTGCTGCTCACTAAACTCCGCCTACCCCTAACCCCCCTCTCTATCTCTCCTCCCTGACTCCCCCCCCCCTCTTACCTATATAGCCTCTTGTTACCGCAACCCTTTTGCCCACTTCAGCAATTGTTTCTTGCTGTGGTTGTCCCACCTGATGACGGACGCTTGTGTTGCGCCCGAAACGTCGTGATTTAATTCTAGATTTGAAGCTTTCGTGACTGCAAGGATTCATATTCTTAGGTTTTTTCAGTAAAGTCACGTAGGTAAAACATCAAAATTAATGAAAATAAAATAAAATAAAGATCACGACGTTTCGTGATCTTTATTTTATTTTTATTAATTTTGATGTTTTACCTACGTGACTTTACCGAAAAAACCTAAGAATACGTCGTGATTTAATTTATTTTATTTTTCACCTACGTGACTTTACCGAAAGAACCAACGAGTATGCAGAGCTCCTTTTGCAGAAGCGACCTGGCTGTCACAAATCGATGGTGGCTCAACGGAGCGGGCTTTATCATCGCGTGGAAATGTATTGTCGGCCAAATGATCTCAAAACGTGAATTTTGTTGATCGTGAATGTGGAGGGGGAAAAAACCCCACAGGACCACGGAGAGAAATCCATGCGTCCACGGGAAGAGAGACACGCAGACTCCAAATATACAGCAGCAGGCGTCAGGGTCGGGATAGAATCCACGACCTCCTGTATATCAGGCGAGGTAGTTAACATCTCCTAGCCACCGTGATGATGATGATGATGAGAGAGAGACACGCAAACTCCAAATATACAGCAGCAGGCATCAGGGGTCGGGATCGAACCCACGACCTCCTGTACACCAGGCGAGGTAGTTAACATCTCCTAGCCACTGTGATGATGATGAAAGAGAGACACGCAAACTCCAAATATACAGCAGTAGGTGTCAGGGTTGGGATCGAACCCACGACCTCCTGTACACCAGGCGAGGTAGTTAACATCTCCTAGCCACCACAGTGCCGCTGCGAGGGAGGCCTCAACTGAGAGGGGGCTCCAGAGGGTGACTCCGCCATAGGGTCATTTTGGACCTACTCTTCCTTCATCGTCATCATCGTTGTCATCATTATCGTCATCAACATCATCGTTGTCGTCATCATCATCACCGTCATCATCGTCATCATCGTTGTCATCATTATCGTCGTCGTCACCATCATCGTCGTCATCACCAGCATCATCATTGTCATCAATATCGTCATCGTCGTCATCGTCATCATCATCGTCGTCGTCATCACCATCGTCGTCGTCATCACCATCGTCATCCTCATCACCATCATGATCGTCGTCATCATTGTCATCGTCATCATCATCGTCATCATCATCATCGTCATCCCTATCGCCATCGCCATCATCATCGTCGTCATCACCATGATCGTCGCCCCCCAACAACGACGGACGGGTAAGCGCTGGCTCGGGGGACAGGCGGCGTAGGTGCAGAGTGTTGATCTCTTACCGTTCCTGGAGTACATCGTGCCGCAGCTCTCCTCCATGTTGGCGTCGTTGGGCTCGTTGTGAGCCCAATTCTCAAACGTGATGGGAGTTCCATCCACCCAGCTGTGACAACAACAAAAACTCTCAAACGTGATGGGAGTTCCATCCACCTAACTGTGACAACAACAACAACAACTCTCACACGTGACGGGAGTTCCATCCACCCAGCTGTGACAACAACAACAACATCAACAACAACATCAACTCTACCACAAGACGGGAGTACCATTCCCCCAGCTGTGACAACAACAACATCAACGACGGTCAAACTCAGCCTCAGATGAGTACCCGGTGCACGCCGCGTACAACATCAGCACCGGGGGAGACAAAGGCGGCCGGGCGTGGCGCCGACCACCCGCCCCCCTCGTGCGCCGTGTGGGCCTTCGCAGGTGCGGCCCCCCGGTGTGGCGCCAACTCACCGAGGTCTCCGTTCAATGCCGAGCTCCAGGCCGATGTACCACTGCTCGTCACGCGCCATCCTCGCCACCTACGCAGCAGAAGAAGAAGGGGCAAAGGTAACCCCCCCGCTCACAACCCCCCCGCTCACCCCCCCCCCCGCTCACCCCCCCCCCGCTCACCACCCCCCTGCTCACCCCCCCGCTGGTGGGGTGAGTGGGGGATTGATTGAGTGGGATGCCGAGTGGGTGGGTGAGTGAGATGGTGGGGGTAGAGTGGGGGATTGATGGAGTAGCATGCCGAGTGAGTGAGTGGGTGAGTGAGATGGTGGGGTAGAGTGGGGGATTGATTGAGTGGGGTGCCGAGTGGGTGAGTGAGATGGTGGGAGTAGAGTGGGGGATTGATGGAGTGGGGTGCTGAGTGAGTGAGTGGGTCAGTGAGATGGTGAGTGTTTTAGTTTGTGAGTGGGTGAGAAAGTGAGTGAGTGATTGATTGTGTGTGTGAGCCGGTGGGTAGGTGAGTGGGTTATTGACGGAGTGTGTGAGTGCATCATCATCATCACCGACAGCATCATCAGTAGCAGCATCATCAGCAGCAGCATCATCGCCGGCAGCATCAGCAGAAAGCATCAGCATCACCAGCGCCGTGAGCGGCAGCGTGAGCGGCGGGTCACCTTCCGATAGAGGAAGAACCACTCCTCTTTGTCAGCGATGGAGGCGAGCTCGCCGCCGAGGCTCCGGCAGGCTGCCCGCGCCGGCACGAAGGGCAGCTTCAGCGAGTCGTTGAGGAGGTACTCCACCTCGCCACGCACCACCCACTGAGACCCCAACGGCCCCGGCGCTGCGTTGCGGCACGCGGAGTAAGGGGGGTAAAGCGTAATGACGACAACAATAATAACAATAATAACAACAGCAATAACAACAACAATAATAACAATAGTAACAACAATAATAATAACAATAATAACAATTACAACACCAACAATAATAACAAAAACAACAATAATCTTCTTGGTTCTTTCGGTAAAGTCACATAGAATGGAAATAATAAAATAATTATAAAAAAACAATAAAATAAAATTCTCATAGTGAGAATTTTATTTTATTACTAGCATAAGTACCCGGCGTTGCCCGGATGAAAAATATATTTCTTAATAACCTTACATATATACACAGATGGGCTGCTACCCCTGCCCCCCCCCCAGCCACGATCTCCTCGGCCGCTGTGCAGTAATATGTACGGCCTATAGTGTGGTGGGGTGTCGAGGCCTAGTACCGTGCAGAGCCTCCGGCCTCGCCTAAATTGCCCACCCGGCTGAGGCTGGGTACGGGTGCCGTTCCCCCCCCCCCCCCCGCGCTACAATAATACTGTCTAATCGCTATAATTTTATTATCTACCGACCCTATAATAGTAATTGCACACATTGGGGTGGGGGGGGAGTGAAGAGGACGTGAAACTTTGATGAATTTACCTCAGAGTCGCGTGTTAATGCGTGCGCATATTTTTAACGGGAATTAAAAATGGCGTCCACCCCGCAGCGAATGCGTCGCTACCCGTTGCCAGGGGCAACCGCCATCCAATGAAACTGCGTATGGTCCGGCGACACACAGACAGACAGACAGATTTGCGATTTTATATATACAGATGTTTTATTAATTCTCACAGTGAAAATTTTATTTTATTATGTCTTATTAATTCTCACAGTGAAATTTTTTTTTTATTATGTTTTATTTTTATTATTTTATTATTTCCCTTTTCTCACGAACGTTTCGGCCACAACTCAAGCAGCCGTCCTCAGATGAAGAACAGGTCTGTCGAGAAGACAGAGTCCGAATAACAATTACAACACCAACAATAATAACAACAAGAATAACAACACCAACAATAATAACAACAACAATAATAACAATAATACCAACAATAACAACACCAATAACAACAACAATTATAACAACAATAATAACAACAACTATTATAACAACAATTATAACAACAACTACAACAACAATAACAATAAGAACAATATCAACAACAATAACAACAATAATAATGACGACAACAAAATCTTTGGTCAGTGTAACACGCAGGCTTTTTTCGAACAGGTGGACTTCTCCACAGATCTGGCTGTCGCCTGATGAAGCTGGTTGTAGTTACTGGCGAAACGTCGCGCTGCTCAGATTGTAAATGTTGTCGCTTGGCTCTCCAACACACCGGTTAGTGCTGTACTAGTACACTACACTATACACTACACTATACACTACTATACACTACACTATACACTACACTATACACTACACTATACACGACTATACACTACACTATACACTACACTATACACGACTATACACGACACTATACACTACACTATACACTACGCTACACACGACTATACACTACACTATACATTACTATACACTACACTATACACGACTATACACTACACTATACGCTACACTATACACTACACTATACACGACTATACACGACACTATACACTACACTATACACTACTATACACTACACTATACACTACACTATACACTACTATACACTACACTATACACGTGTGCTGTACTAGTGACGAATTGGCACGTTCTGTTTACGTGACAACCCTTACGAGTTGGCTGTGTCGGGTGGTGGTCTAACGACACATTTATATATTTACGCGATCTAAGCCAAACAAGCCTCTAACGACAAGCCTCTAACGACACATTTATATATTTACGCGATCTAAGCCAAACAAGCCTCTATTATGGATTATAACAGATTTGGTTTTCACAGGATCATGCGTGTGTGTGTGTATGTGTGTGTGTATGTGTGCGTGTGTGTATGTGCGTGTATGTGCGTGTATGTGTTAGCGCGCTGCGCTACAAACCCGGCGACCCGGGTTCGATTCCCACTCACGGCCAACACCAGTGACAATTATCTGAACCGGTCCTGGGCCTCCCCGAGGTCGACTCAGCCTCAAATGAGTACCTGGCACAGCGTGTAAACATCGTCACTGGGAAGACAAAGGCGGCCGGACGTGGTGTTGGCCACCCACCCCCTCGTGTGCCGTGCCGGCCTTCATAGGCACTCGCTAACAGCACTTGCCCCAACAGTCTGTTGAGGCTACACGGGGGATCGTTGTCTTTGTGTGCGTGTGAAACATCAGCAGTGGAAAGTTGAGGTCGAAAGGAGGAGCCCTCTCACCTGGGGCCGGCTCTGTCGGCGGTGGCTTCACAGCAACGCCTGCAACAACAACAAAGGACAAGACAAAGATCCCCCGTATAGCCTTGACAGACTGGCGGGGAAAGTGCTGCTAAGCAAGCAGCACCTATGGAGGCGGGCACGGCACACGAAGCGGGTTGGTGGCCAGCACCACGCCCGGCCGCCTTTGTCTCCCGAAAGTGGCGATGTTTTTACACACCATCACCAGGTACTCATTAGAGGCTGAGTGGATCTAGGGGAGGCCCAGGACCGGTTCAGATAATCGTCACCGGTGTTGGCCGTGAGCGGGAATCGAACTCGGGTCGCCGGGTTCGTAGCGCGGCGCGCTAACAGCAGCATCACCGCTCCCCATGCACGTACAACAACAACAACCGCCATTTACCACTAAGTGGCGGTAACGTCACCACGGCGCTTGTGCCAGGCCATGTGCACGTCAAGGGCACGTAAAGTGTCGAATGCCCGCTGGTAGGAGATCACGGGATAGACCCAGGTGCCACGGGTTGACTAACCGAGATGACTGGACGATGCACCACCTGGCCCCCTACTGTGCCAACTTGCTGTGTTCTAGCTGCCAAGCGCTCCGCTCGTTGTTGTGAGCGTCGCTCCTCCGCCCTCCGTTGTTGCTGGAGGGTGACTGCCTCCAACTGCCCAGTAGCGTCCTTCACGAGCCTCCTCTACAGAGGCCGATCTTGACACCGCTGGTACCAGTTATCGGTAAATCCACTCAGCTCTTACGTCCTCTTGTACCACATCACTCCATCTCATCTCTAGCCTGTGCCACGCCCGTTTAGGCCCCTTGATCCGGCCGAACAAAAGCTGTTTAGGCATGCGGTGGCTGGGCATGCGGGCTACATGACCCAGCCAACACAGCCTTGCCTGCCAGAGGAGCTCACCGATGGGACTTTGTCCAGATCTTTCAAGGATTTGTGAGCTCATCACACACTCCAGCCTGGTTCCACCCAGGATGGAAGGTAGACAGGCCAGCCAGAATGTTTTAACCGGCAAAGATGTTCCATTATGGGGGGGGGTCCACGTTTCGTACATCTCCTTCTCAATCCTGGCTCCCCCCACCCACCGCCCCCACCACCCACCCCCCGACCCCTCACCCAGGCTCACCTCGTGCCACCTTGCACACCCAGTTCATGAACGCGTTGCAGTCGATGTCGTTCCACTCGGAGGCCCAGCCCCGATTCGCCTCGCCGCAGTGCTCCGTGTTGCCGTAGTTGTTGGGCTCCCCGCGCCCCCAGTTCTTGAACGACACCTGGGCCACGGGAGGGCCCCACGGGGGCGGCCGACAAACAAGCGGGGAGAGCAGGGGGCAAGCAGTGCGAGTCAGAAGAAGGCGGCGCTGCTCCGTTTAAATTGGGGCGAGGGTCATTTTTGTTTTTTTGGGAGACGCAGACGACGACGATGATGGTGATGAAGATGACGACAATGACGACGATGACGACGATAACGACGATGACGATGATGACGACGACGATGACGACAACGACAATGATGACAACGACAATGACGACAATGACAATGACGACGACGACGACGACAACGACAATGACGACAACGACAATGATGACGATACTGACAATGATGACGATAATGACGACAATTACGACAATGACGACAACAATGACCGCAATGACGATGATGACGACAACAATGACCACAATGACGATGACAGTGACGATGACGACGACAATCACGACGATGGGAGGAGAGAGAAATTCCAAGTGGGGAGCAGAGCGAGTGGTAGAAGCAGAGAGAGAGAGAGAGACAAGTGTTGCGACCTGCAGTGCGGCGAGCGCGTGGGTGAGCGGGTGAGCGGGTGGCAGAGCGACTGGGTGAGCGGGTGAGCGGGTGGCAGAGCGACTGGGTGAGCGGGCGAGCGGGTGGCAGAGCGACTGGGTGAGCGAATTGGTGAGCGCGAGTGCGCCGGCCGCGCGCTCACCGGCGTGCCGTCGCTCCACACGAAGCCCTTGTCCGGGTCCAGGCTATTGAGGCCGATCCAGTAGTGGGTATCTGGAAACGGCTGACGCCTTGTCGCAGCAGATCAACAACAATCAACAAAAACAATCAACAAAAAGAATCAGCGACAACAACGACGACGACGCCATCGACAGGCCCCCCCCCCCCCCCCGGTGCGTGGGCCCCGGGGCCCACCTGGAGATCTTGTGCAGCAGGATGGCCTCCGAGCGGTCGTGCAAGCTCAGCAGGTCGGCGCCCTGCTGGCGGCAGTGCTCACGAGACTCGGCCCACGTGCGGCGCCCTTGCAGACGCACGAAGTTCAGCTGCAGCGGGGCGGGGGGGTGAGCGGGGGAGGGTGAGCGGGGGGGGGTGAGTGGGGGGGGGTGAGTGGGAGGGGGTGAGCGGGGGGGGGGGTGAGCGGGGGGGTGAGTGGGAGGGGTCAGCGGGGGGTGGGGGGGGGTGAGCGGGGGGGGGGGTGAGCGGGGGTGGTTGGTGAGTGGGGGGGGGTGAACAGGGGGGGGGGGTGAGCGGGGTGGGGGTGAGTGGGGAAGGTGAGTGGGGGGGGGGTGAGCGGGGGGTGGGGGGTGAGCGGGCGGTAGAGGGTGAGTGGGGAAGGTGAGTGGGGGGGGGGTGAGCGGGGGGTGGGGGGTGAGTGGGGAAGGTGAGTGGGGAAGGTGAGTAGGGGGGGGGTGAGCGGGGGGTGGGGGGTGAGCGGGGGGTGGGGGGTGAGTGGGGGGGGTGAGTGGGGGGTGAGCGGGGGGTGGGTGAGTGGGGAAGGTGAGTGGGGAAGGTGAGTGGGGGGGGGGGGGTGAGTGGGGGGGGTGGGGGGGGTGGGGGGTAGGGTGAGTGGGGGGGGGGGTGAGCGGGGGGGTGGGTGGGTGAGCGAGGGGTGGGAGGGGGTGAGCCGGAGGGGGGGGGGGGGGTGCTGAGCTGTAGCTGAGTGTTGAGTGGAGTGGAGTGGTGATGATGTAAACGATGATGATGATGACATCATGCTCGGTAATCATATGCGTAGTAGATGATGGCGATGATGATGATGATGATGCAGATGACGTTGATGACGATGGCGTATGCCTGGTAAGCAGTACACCTTGTCGATGAAGATGATCACGACGACGATGACGACGACGTTTGTGAGGATGATGTGACAATGATGATGATGACGATCGGTCATGTTAATGAGCATTATGACGACGTGACGATAACGACGTGATGACGATGACGACGATGATGACGACGATGATGACGATGACGACGATGACGACGACGACGACGATGATGATGATGACGATCGGTCATGTTAATGAGCATTATAACGACGTGACGATGACGACGTGATGACGACGATGTGACGAGGCCTTGCCTGGTAGCAGTACTCGTGGTTGCCCAACGTCGTCCACCCGACGGCGCAGGGCAGGGGGGTGGGGGTGGGGCCGGGCGGGGTGGGGGGCGGGGGGGCCGTGACCCCCTGCGGGAGGCCCCGGCACGCGGCGCCGGCCCTTCCGCGCGTGCAGTTCCTGACGCTCCACAGCCCCGCGGCCGTGGTGCCGGCCTCCACCACCACGCAGCCCGCCGCATCGCCGCCTGCAGCCGCAACAACAACAACCACAACTACAACAACCACTACAACAACAACCACTACAACCACAACCATCGTCAACACAGCCCCGGCCTCGTGGCCTTGAAACTACAATAACCACAACAACCGCAGCAACCGCAACAACCGCAGCAACCGCAACAACCACAACAACCACAATAACCACAATAACCACAACAACCGCAACAACCGCAGCAACCACAACAACCGCAACAACCGCAACAACCACAACAACCGCAACAACCGCAGCAACCACAACAACCACAACAACCGCAACAACCACAACAACCACAACAACCGCAGCAACCACAACAACCGCAACAACCGCAACAACCACAACAACCGCAACAACCGCATCAACCACAACAACCACAACAACCGCAACACCCACAACAACCGCAACAAGCGCGTGAGCGGGCTACCTGGCTGGTTGACTCCCCAGTGTGTGTAGGTCACCGGCCTTCCGTCGAGCCACCTGAAGGTCCCTGGTTGGTCGACGTCGCTCAGGCCCAGCCAATAGGAGCCCAGCGAGCCCAGGCCGATTTGGCTGGTGATGAACGCCTGCTCGAACCTAGCCAAGGCAAAAATCCCCCGTGTAGCCTCCGCTGGTGCGTTGGGGCAAGTGCCGTCAGTGAGCATCTAACGAAGGCCGGCGAATGCTGCAACACCCGGCCGCCTGTGTCTCCCCGGCGGCGATGTTTTACACGAAACAAACCGGGCGACCCATTTGGATAATCGTCACCGGTGTCGGTCGCGAGCGGAAAACCGGACTCGGGTCGCCGAAGTTCGTAGGGGCAGTGCGCTAACCGCTACGACCACCGCTCCCCACGTACGTACGCTACGTATGCGCTGAACTTCTTTCGCACCGTACGTAGCCAACGGCACTAGTCGTAACGCGACACGCGCCGTTGTGCGTAACGCGTGGCTGACGATGATGCGACGATGATTATAATGATGACAATGATGACGATCGTGATGATAATGATGATGAGGGCGATGATGATCGTGATGATTGTGATGATGAGGGCGATGATGATCGTGATGATTATGATGATGATGAGGGTGGTGATGATCGTGATGATTATGATGAAGGCGATGATGATCGTGATGATCGTGATGATGAGGGCGATGATGATCGTGATGATGATGATGAGGGCGATGATGATCGTGATGATTACGATGATGATGAGGGCGGTGATGATCGTGATGATCGTGATGATGAGGCCGATTATGATCGTGATGATTATAATGATGATGAGGGCGATGATGATGATGGCGATGATCGTGATGATTACGATGATGATGAGTGCGGTGATGATCGTGACGATGATGACGAGGGCGACGACGAGGCACCGGTCGTGGACGCTGGCGAGTGCCGCCCCCTGAGATGCGCAGCGAGCGACGGCGTCAGCGTGGCTCCGGGGCGCCGCGTCAAACACAAAGCACGCGGAGAGGAAGCGCTTCCAGCCCTGCGCACAATGTCAACAACATCAACAACATCATCAACATCATCAACAACAACATCAACAACAACAACATCAACAACATCATCAACAACATCAACATCATCAACAACAACATCATCAACAACAACATCAACAACAACATCAACAACAACATCAACAACATCATCAACAACAACATCATCATCAACAACATCAACAACATCATCAACAACAACAACATCATCATCAACAACAACATCAACAACATCATCAACAACAACAACATCATCAACAACATCAACAACATCAACAACAACAACATCATCGATAATAACATCAACAACATCATCAACAACAACAACATCATCACAACAACATCATCAACAACAACATCATCGACAACAACATAATCAACAACATCATCAACAACAACATCATCAACAACAACATTAACAACAACATCATCATCAACAACCTCGTCGTCATCATCATCAACAACTTCATCATCATCAACAATCTCATCATCAACAACATCATCAACAACATCAACAACATCATTAACAACATCATCATCGACAATCTCGTCATCATCATCATCAACAACCTCATCATCATCAACAATCTCATCATCAACAACAACATCAACAACAACATCATCAACAACAACATAATCATCATCAACAACCTCGTCATCATCATCATCAACAACCTCATCATCATCAACAACCTCATCATCAACAACATCATCTACAACAACATCATAATCAACAAGAACATCGTCATCAACAACATCAATAACAACATCTATAACATCATCAACAATAATAACAACATCAACAGCATCAACCACATGAACATTGATCGCTAGGTGATGTGACCACAGTAATTGTACCAGGCATTTGGTGGTAGTTGTTGATGTTATGTCTCAGCTGCGTGGTGATGATGGTTGGTGGTCAATTTTGACGGATGGATGTTGTCGCTGTATCAGCTGAAGTGCTGCTGATGTTGATGGTGGAGGCTGCGGATGGCCGTCGGTGCTGACGGTGGTGGTGGTTGACGGTGGTGGTGGTGCGGCAAAACAACCCCCTACCTCCTCGTGGTGCCGGATGGGCAACGCTGTCGTGGGCAGTGCTGTGGGGGGAGGGCCAATTCCGATTGGCCTTTCCCCTCATGGCGTTTGTAACCACCACAGCGGCCAAATGGGGGCTCTGGACGGGTGCGAGGGACTGGTAACCCCTCCAGCTTCAATTAATTACCACTAAACCACGACGACAAAATTGTCTCCTGGCCAAACCCCATTTGGCGGAACCAGGAGACTGAATCTTCACCCTCAGGGCTCCTCCAGAAACAACAAAAAATCACTATGTGTGGCCACGTGGAATGTTTGAACGCTCACTGCGGAGGAAAGGCTGCCACTCCTCTGTCGGGAGCTGGATCTCTGTGGTATTCAGGAGGTCCGGTGGACCGGCTCTGGGTCCTGCCACCATGACGGGTGGACAGTCCTTTTCTCGGGGCAGGAGACTGCCAAACAACAGGGAGTGGCTCTTCTTCTGAACAAAAGAATGAAGGGGGCGTGGGAGCGTGGCGGTGAGGTGTGGGAAGCTGTAAGCCCCAGGCTACTTTGGGCTCGCCTTCCCATCAACCGGAGGCGAGGAGTCATGGTTGTGATTACTTATGCCCCCAACGAAGACGAACATCCGTGGAGGGATGCAGGCAAGACCGATGAGTCAGATGCCTTCTATGACCTCCTGTCACAGGTGCTAGCTAAAGTGGCCCCTCGGGATAGAGTCATCTTGTTGGGTGACTTCAATGCCCAAGTTGGTCATGATGCTGGCACCTGGTCTGGAATGATTGGAAGGCATGGGCCAGATCAGCTCAATAACGACGGCAAGATGCTGCTAGATTTTTGTGCAGCTCATGGGCTTGAAATTACCAACACGCTGTTCTGGCATTGACGCATCCACACAACATGATGGATGCATGCCAGGTCCAAGCAAGAACATCTGCTGGACTACATAGTGACGGAACAGCGGATGCAGGCCCATGTCCTTGACACCAGGACCTACCGTGGAGCTGATCTGCCCACTGACCATCGACTTGTCATATGTAAGATGCGCTTGCCATTCTTCCACTCCAGTGGTGGGTGTACACCCAGGACCCCATTCAAACCCTTAATGGCATGGTCTCAGCTAGCTGATAAAAGTTGCAAGCGAGAATTGAATCATCGCTTGCGGCTGGGGTTGCCATCGTCCCCCACTCCTCCTGATGTCGAGGGGAAATGGGCGAGGTTTAGGACTGTGGCTCATGCAGCTGCAATGGCTACTTTAGTTACATGGTCCAGATCTACCCAGAAACCCTGGCTGACAGATGAGGTGTTCAAGCTGGCTGAGAAAAAGTGACAGGCCCACTCTCATCGGCTACAGCATCCCATGTCAGAGAATGAGGAGGCTTACCGAAGCCTTCGCTCGGAGGTTCGGAGAGCCGTGAGGTGCTGCAAGGATGGGTGGTGGTCGCAGGTTGCTGAGGAGATGGAGTCTGCCTCAATGGCCCGCGATCACAATTCGCTCTTTAATTCCATAAAAAAAAGTAATCTGCAGTGCCACACCTATTACCATTGTAATAAGAGCCTATGTCCGGCTCACGTGGTGATCGGCTCTGCCGGTCCTGCTCTACAGCCAATGGGGGGAGAGCCTGGGAGCATGGCCTCGGCGTGATCACGGGATGTCAGCTAGGGTGATTAGTTCTGCTGGTCTTGGCCTCAGCCAATGGGAAGACAAGTAAAGGGCGTGGTCCTGGGAGTTGATGGGGAATCTGGAACATTCGCCGCAGGCTATTAAGGATTGGCGGGAGTGTACCACGTGACCCAGGCGTTAAATAAGGGGAGAGATCAGAGACACGTGGTCAGACACGGAACGAAGAGAGAGAGAGGGGCCACGCGCGAGCGGAGCTCCGGGTGCCAAGTGGCGGTGCGTCTCTTGTGGCTGTCTGCCCGCTTCCCGTTGCCTGCCAGCAACGTTGAGTGTTTGTGAACTGAAGAAGTGAAATAAAAGGACCGATTCCACAAGCCGTCTCCAAAAGGTTTATTACACCATCATTAGGGGAAAGATTGGTGATCCAATCTCCGACTCCTAGGAACAGGTTTGCAGATTTGCTGAGCATTTCTGTGAGGTCCTGGGGGAGGGGACATCAGCCTGGATAACGTGGAACAAAGTGGGGATGACCCTGCTGAGGCTACGGTGTCTCAAATATTGGAAGAGGAAGTCACCCCCTGTGAGTGGCTGGCTGAGGTGCCATCTGTTAAGGAAGTACTAAAGGTGATCCAGAGTCTGAGACCAGGAAAGGCACCGGGCTGAGATGATCTCCAAAGCAAAATGCTGAGGGAGGGTGGCGTTTGTGCACAGACTGCCCTACATGACATCATAATAACAGTCCGGACCACTGGACGGGTTCCACAGGATTGTAAGGATGCCCTGGTGGTCCCCCTCTTTAAGAAGGTGGACCGCACAGACTGTAACAACTACAGGGGCATCTCACTCCTCAGTGTGCCGGGAAAGGTTCTGGCATGGATTATTCAACATCGTCTTGCCAGGCACACTGAGGAGAGGCTTGCGGAGCCTCAATGTGGTTTCAGGAAAGGGTGGTCCTACACAGATGCCATATTCTCTGTCCGTTTGCTACAACAGAGGTGTTGGGAATTCCAACAAGACCTACATCTCTGCTTTATTGACCTGGTCAAGGCCTATGATACCACCCTCTGCTCATGATCATTAAGGACCTTCATGATGGTGAGCGGGCCCGGGTAAAACTATGTGGCCGGGAGTCGGAGCCATTCCCTGGACACCTTGGGGTGCGACAGGGATGTCCTCTGGCTCCCACATTATTTAACATCTATTTCGACCACGTAGTTCGTGAAGCCTTCAATAGCTGTACTGGAGGAATTTCCATCTGGTACAGATACAATGGGAGGCTGATCGATGCCCGGGTGCGGTCAAGGGATGGCTCCCTATTGCTCAACCATGTTATGTATGCCGATGATCTGGTAATTGCTGCTCACTCAGAGGAAGAGTTGGAGGCGCTGCTGCTGAACCTGGAGCTTGCCACTAAGAGGTGGGGATATACCATCAGCCCCAACAAAACTAAGCACCTGCCTGGGTATTTTGTACCATCGGACACTCCACCCCCACAACTCCCAATTTGTGATAGGGCAGTTGTGGAGAGTTTCCCATACCTGGGCAGTGTGCTCATAACCGGCTCCGGTTTAACAGCAGAGGTCTAAAATAATAGGGTTTTCCCCCTTTTTTCTGGCAACAAAACTGAAACCTTTTTACAATGAATCATGTCTGAATAAACCACAATACTTGTAGTCAAAATGCAAACAAAAACACACTCTGATAATATATGCATTGTCCTTGAAACTGATTGGTCCACACCAGAGACGGCACCAATTGAGACGATGCTAAAAAACAAGCTGTGTGTTTTTGGTTGCATTTTAACCACAAGTATTGTGGTTAATGCACACATGATTCATTGTAAAAAGGTTTCAGTTTTGTTGCCAGAAAAAAGGGGAAAACCCCTATTATTATATTTTGGTACTGGCAAACGAGGTCTAATGATGAAGCAGAGATCTCACTCCGAATCAGTCGAGCGGCATTATCTTTTAATCGGTTGCGTAATGCTATGTGGAAGCTACCTGGTCTGTCACTCCGCACAAAGCTTCAGGTCTTCTCGGCCACAGTCATTCCCTCCCTTCTCTATGCTCGCGAAACGTGGACCCCCCTAATGGAACATCTTCGCCGGTTAGAAACATTTAGGCTGGCCTACCTACGATCCATCCTGGGTTTAACCAGGCCGGATTGTGTGAGGAGCTCACACATCCTTGAAAGATCTGGACAAAGTCTCATCGGTGAGCTCCTCCGGCAGGCAAGGCTGCATTGGCTGGGCCATGTAGCCCGCATGCTTAGCCACCGCATGCCTAAACAGCTTTTGTTCGGCCGGATCGAGGGGGCTAAACGGGCGCGGCACGGGCTAGAGAAGAGATGGAGTGATGTGGTACAGGAGGATGTGGAGCTGAGTGGACTTGCCGATGACTGGTACCAGCGGTGTCAAGATCGGCCTCTGTGGAGGAGGCTCGTGAAGGACGCTACTGGGCAGTTGGAGGCCGTCGCCCTCCAACAACAACGGAGGGCGGAGGAGCGACGCTCACAACAATGAGCGGAGCGCCGGGTGGCTAAAACACAGCAAGTTGGCACAGTAGGGGGCACAGGTGGTGTATCAGCCAGTCGTCTCAGTCAGTCGACCTGTGGCATCTGGGTCTGCTCCGTGACTTCCTACCAGCGGGCGTTCGGCACTTCACGTGGCCTCAAGGTGCACATAGCCTGGCACAAGCGTCGTGGTGACGTCACCGCCACTTAGTGATTGTGGTTGATGGTGGTGGTGGTTGTTGACAATGGTTGACGCTGGTGGTGGTTGACAGTGGTGTTGGTGGTTGACGGTGGTGGTTGTGGTAGTTGTTGTGGTGGTTGTTGGTGTTGCTGCGTGCTACCGGTTTGCAACCCTGCTCCGGCTCGTGGATTTCCGGCTCGCTCGGTGCCTTCTTGCACACAAAGTCAAAGGAGCGGTCGCACTGCGTGTCGTTCCAGCGCCCTTCCTGCACGCACGCAGCACACACACGCAGCACACACACGCATCACACACACGAAGCACACACACGCAGCACACACACGCAGCACACACACGAAGCACACACACGCAGCACACACACACGTCACACACACGCCACACACACGCAGCACACATACGCAGCACACACACGCAGCACACACACGAAGCACACACACGAAGCACACACACGAAGCACACATACGCAGCACACACACGAAGCACACACACGCAGCACACACACGCAGCACACACACGAAGCACACACGCAGCACACACAGCGCACACACACAGCACACACACGCAGCACACACACGCAGCACACACACGCAGCACACACGCAGTACACACACACCCAGCAAACACGCAGCACACACACGCAGTACACACACACGAAGCACACACACGAAGCACACACGCAGCACACATACACAGTACACACACAGCACACACGCAGCACACACACACGCAGCACACACACGGAGCGCACACACACGAAGCACACACACGCAGCACACACACGCAGCACACACACGCAGCACACACACGAAGCACACACACGCAGCACACACACACGTCACACACACGCCACACACACGCAGCACACATACGCAGCACACACACGCAGCACACACACGAAGCACACACACGAAGCACACACACGAAGCACACATACGCAGCACACACACGAAGCACACACACGCAGCACACACACGCAGCACACACACGAAGCACACACGCAGCACACACAGCGCACACACACAGCACACACACGCAGCACACACACGCAGCACACACGCAGTACACACACACCCAGCAAACACGCAGCACACACACGCAGTACACACACACGAAGCACACACACGAAGCACACACGCAGCACACACACACAGTACACACACAGCACACACGCAGCACACACACACGCAGCACACACACACAGTACACACACGAAGCACACACACAGCACACACACACGAAGCACACACACGCACCTCCGATTAGCGCGGTTGGCTACGTACGGTGGCGACTGCGGTAGTCGTGGTGGTGGTGGCGGTGGTGCAGGTGGATGCGGGTGGTGGCGGTGGTGGTGGCGGTGGTGTGAGTGGTGGTGGTGCGGGTGGTGGCGGTGGTGGTGCGGGTGGTGGCGGTGGTGGTGGTGCGGGTGGTGGTGCGGGTGGACGCGGGCGGTGGTGCGGGTGGTGGCGGTGGTGGTGCGGGTGGTGGCGGTGGTGGTGCGGGTGGTGGCGGTGGTGGTGCGGGTGGTGGCGGTGGTGGGGCGGGTGGTGGCGGTGGTGGTGCGGGTGGTGGCGGTGGTGGTGCGGGTGGTGGCGGTGGTGGTGCGGGTGGTGGCGGGTGGTGGTGCGGGTGGTGGTGCGGGTGGTGGCGGTGGTGGTGCGGGTGGTGGCGGTGGTGGTGCGGGTGGTGGCGGTGGTGGTGCGGGTGGTGGTGGTGGTGCGGGTTGTGGCGGTGGTGGGGCGGGTGGTGGTGGTGGTGGTGTGGGTGGATGCGGGCGGTGGTGGTCCGAGTGGACGCGGTTGTTTTTACCGCGGCCGTCATGATCACGCAGTTCTCTCCGCTGCGGTCTCCGCCGCTCGGCTCGAAGCGGCTCCACCGCGTGAACTCCACCGCCGAGTCGTCCGTCCACTCGTAGGAGAGGAGCGAGCGGCGGTCGTGAAGGCCGATCCACACGTCTCCCGCCCCCGCTCCTCCTGCACACGGGGCGGCAAACGCATCCATCACTCGGACCACAAACTCGGCCCTTCACCCCTCCTCCTGGTGCAGGGGGGGTTCCAGGTTGAGGGCAGTTGGGACGAGGGTCTGGTTGGGTTCGGGCTAGGGCGAGGATCTTGGTGGCTGGTGTGGTTAGGGTCTGGCTGGATGGTGTAGTTAGTGCTAGGATCTGGGTGGTGTGGTTAGGGTTGGGGTCTGGCTGGGTGGTGTGGTTAGGGCTCGGTGTGAGTTCTAACTGGCTAAGTCCGTGGGAGTACGGGCCAGCCGCCGTAAATTCGCGTTCGCTAAACACAACCGCCGCCACCACCACCACCGCCGACCCTGTGGTCTCACCGAGCTGGGCTGCGAGGAACTCGAGCTCGCGCGCGCTGTGGATGCTGGCGAGGTCTCCGCCGTCGCGCCGGCACGCGGCCAGGGCGCGCGTCTGCGTGTCGCGCCTCCCCGCCCGGCGGTAGCAGGAGCCCGCGTAGGGCAGCCACGACGCGCCGCAGCCCCGCGGCCCCGCGCCTGCCCAACGCAGAGAGAGCGCCACAGCAGCGGTGGTGGTGGCGGCGGTGGTGGTGGTGGTGACGGTGGTGGTGGTGTTGGTGGTGGTGACGGTGGTGGTGGTGATGGTGGTGGTGGCGGCGGCGGTGGTGGTGAAGGTGGTGGTGAAGGTGAGTGAATGAGTGGGTAAATGAGTGAGATGATGAGTGACTGAGTGGGTGGATGAGTGATATGGTGAGTGACTGAGTGGGTGGATGAGTGAGATGGTGAGTGACTGAGTGGATGGATGAGTGAGATGGTGAGTGAATGAGTGGGTGGATGAGTGAGATGGTGAGTGAATGGGTGGGTGGATGAGTGATGGTGAGTGACTGAGTTGGTGGATGAGTGATATGGTGAGTGACTGAGTGGATGGATGAGTGATATGGTGAGTGACTGAGTGGGTGGATGAGTGAGATGGTGAGTGAATGAGTGGGTGGATGAGTGAGATGGTGAGTGAATGAGTGAGATGGTGAGTAACTGAGTGGGTGGATGAGTGAGATGGTGAGTGACTGAGTGGATGGATGAGTGAGATGGTGAGTGAATGAGTGGGTGGATGAGTGAGATGGTGAGTGAATGGGTGGGTGGATGAGTGATGGTGAGTGACTGAGTTGGTGGATGAGTGATATGGTGAGTGACTGAGTGGATGGATGAGTGATATGGTGAGTGACTGAGTGGGTGGATGAGTGAGATGGTGAGTGAATGAGTGGGTGGATGAGTGAGATGGTGAGTGAATGAGTGAGATGGTGAGTAACTGAGTGGGTGGATGAGTGAGATGGTGAGTGAATGAGTGGATGGATGAGTGAGATGGTGAGTGAATGAGTGGGTGGATGAGTGAGATGGTGAGTGAATGGGTGGGTGGATGAGTGATGGTGAGTGACTGAGTTGGTGGATGAGTGATATGGTGAGTGACTGAGTGGATGGATGAGTGATATGGTGAGTGAATGAGTGGGTGGATGAGTGAGATGGTGAGTGAATGAGTGAAATGGTGAGTAACTGAGTGGGTGGATGAGTGAGATGGTGAGTGAATGAGTGGGTGGATGAGTGAGATGGTGAGTGAATGGGTGGGTGGATGAGTGACGGTGAGTGACTGAGTTGGTGGATGAGTGATATGGTGAGTGACTGAGTGGATGGATGAGTGAGATGGTGAGTGACTGAGTGGGTGGATGAGTGAGATGGTGAGTGAATGAGTGGGTGGATGAGTGAGATGGTGAGTGAATAAGTGAGATGGTGAGTAACTGAGTGGGTGGATGAGTGAGATGGTGAGTGAATGAGTGGATGGATGAGTGAGATGGTGAGTGAATGAGTGGGTGGATGAGTGAGATGGTGAGTGAATGGGTGGGTGGATGAGTGATGGTGAGTGACTGAGTTGGTGGATGAGTGATATGGTGAGTGACTGAGTGGATGGATGAGTGATATGGTGAGTGAATGAGTGGGTGGATGAGTGAGATGGTGAGTGAATGAGTGAGATGGTGAGTAACTGAGTGGGTGGATGAGTGAGATGGTGAGTGAATGAGTGGGTGGATGAGTGAGATGGTGAGTGAATGGGTGGGTGGATGAGTGATGGTGAGTGACTGAGTTGGTGGATGAGTGATATGGTGAGTGACTGAGTGGATGGATGAGTGATATGGTGAGTGACTGAGTGGGTGGATGAGTGAGATGGTGAGTGAATGAGTGGGTGGATGAGTGAGATGGTGAGTGAATGAGTGAGATGGTGAGTAACTGAGTGGGTGGATGAGTGAGATGGTGAGTGAATGAGTGGGTGGATGAGTGAGATGGTGAGTGACTGAGTGGGTGGATGAGTGATGGTGAGTGACTGAGTTGGTGGATGAGTGATATGGTGAGTGACTGAGTGGATGGATGAGTGATATGGTGAGTGACTGAGTGGGTGGATGAGTAAGATGGTGAGTGAATGAGTGGGTGGATGAGTGAGATGGTGAGTGAATGAGTGAGATGGTGAGTAACTGAGTGGGTGGATGAGTGAGATGGTGAGTGAATGAGTGGATGGATGAGTGAGATGGTGAGTGAATGAGTGGGTGGATGAGTGAGATGGTGAGTGAATGGGTGGGTGGATGAGTGATGGTGAGTGACTGAGTTGGTGGATGAGTGATATGGTGAGTGAATGAGTGGGTGGATGAGTGAGATGGTGAGTGAATGGGTGGGTGGATGAGTGATGGTGAGTGACTGAGTTGGTGGATGAGTGATATGGTGAGTGACTGAGTGGATGGATGAGTGATATGGTGAGTGAATGAGTGGGTGGATGAGTGAGATGGTGAGTGAATGAGTGAGATGGTGAGTAACTGAGTGGGTGAATGAGTGAGATGGTGAGTGAATGAGTGGGTGGATGAGTGAGATGGTGAGTGAATGGGTGGGTGGATGAGTGACGGTGAGTGACTGAGTTGGTGGATGAGTGATATGGTGAGTGACTGAGTGGATGGATGAGTGATATGGTGAGTGACTGAGTGGGTGGATGAGTGAGATGGTGAGTGAATGAGTGGGTGGATGAGTGAGATGGTGAGTGAATGAGTGAGATGGTGAGTAACTGAGTGGGTGGATGAGTGAGATGGTGAGTGAATGAGTGGGTGGATGAGTGAGATGGTGAGTGACTGAGTGGGTGGATGAGTGATGGTGAGTGACTGAGTTGGTGGATGAGTGATATGGTGAGTGACTGAGTGGATGGATGAGTGATATGGTGAGTGACTGAGTGGGTGGATGAGTAAGATGGTGAGTGAATGAGTGGGTGGATGAGTGAGATGGTGAGTGAATGAGTGAGATGGTGAGTAACTGAGTGGGTGGATGAGTGAGATGGTGAGTGAATGAGTGGATGGATGAGTGAGATGGTGAGTGAATGAGTGGGTGGATGAGTGAGATGGTGAGTGAATGGGTGGGTGGATGAGTGATGGTGAGTGACTGAGTTGGTGGATGAGTGATATGGTGAGTGACTGAGTGGATGGATGAGTGAGATGGTGAGTGAATGAGTGGGTGGATGAGTGAGATGGTGAGTGAATGAGTGGGTGGATGAGTGAGATGGTGAGTGACTGAGTGGGTGGATGAGTGATGGTGAGTGACTGAGTTGGTGGATGAGTGATATGGTGAGTGACTGAGTGGATGGATGAGTGATATGGTGAGTGACTGAGTGGGTGGATGAGTGAGATGGTGAGTGAATGAGTGGGTGGATGAGTGAGATGGTGAGTGAATGAGTGAGATGGTGAGTAACTGAGTGGGTGGATGAGTGAGATGGTGAGTGAATGAGTGGGTGGATGAGTGAGATGGTGAGTGAATGGGTGGGTGGATGAGTGACGGTGAGTGACTGAGTTGGTGGATGAGTGATATGGTGAGTGACTGAGTGGATGGATGAGTGATATGGTGAGTGACTGAGTGGGTGGATGAGTGAGATGGTGAGTGAATGAGTGGGTGGATGAGTGAGATGGTGAGTGAATGAGTGAGATGGTGAGTAACTGAGTGGGTGGATGAGTGAGATGGTGAGTGAATGAGTGGGTGGATGAGTGAGATGGTGAGTGACTGAGTGGGTGGATGAGTGATGGTGAGTGACTGAGTTGGTGGATGAGTGATATGGTGAGTGACTGAGTGGATGGATGAGTGATATGGTGAGTGACTGAGTGGGTGGATGAGTGAGATGGTGAGTGAATGAGTGGGTGGATGAGTGAGATGGTGAGTGAATGAGTGAGATGGTGAGTAACTGAGTGGGTGGATGAGTGAGATGGTGAGTGAATGAGTGGGTGGATGAGTGAGATGGTGAGTGACTGAGTGGGTGGATGAGTGATATGGTGAGTGAATGGGTGGGTGGATGAGTGATGGTGAGTGACTGAGTTGGTGGATGAGTGATATGGTGAGTGACTGAGTGGATGGATGAGTGATATGGTGAGTGACTGAGTGGGTGGATGAGTGAGATGGTGAGTGAATGAGTGGGTGATGAGTGAGATGGTGAGTGAATGAGTGAGATGGTGAGTAACTGAGTGGGTGGATGAGTGAGATGGTGAGTGAATGAGTGGGTGGATGAGTGAGATGGTGAGTGACTGAGTGGGTGGATGAGTGATATGGTGAGTGAATGAGTGAGATGGTGAGTGACTGAGTGGGTGGATGAGTGAATGGGTGGGTGGATGAGTGAGATGGTGAGTTACTGAGTGGGTGGATGAGTGATATGGTGAGTGAATGAGTGAGATGGTGAGTAACTGAGTGGGTGGATGAGTGAGATGGTGAGTGAATGAGTGGGTGGATGAGTGAGATGGTGAGTGAATGAGTGATATGGTGAGTGAATGAGTGGGTAGATGAGTGAGATGGTGATTGAGTGGATGGGTGGATGAGTGAGATGGTATGCGACTGAGTGGGTGGATGAGTGAGATACTGAGTGTGTGAATGAGCGAGATTGAGCATGAGTTGTATGATGTGTCGTGGTGTCGTGCATGATATGGCGGTGTCGTAGTGCGTGGTGCCATCTGTGGTGCAGTGTGGTGGTGATGGTGTGGTGCCTAGTGGTTAGGCGTGGTGTCATGTGTGGTGGGTGTGGTAGTGCATGGTGTGGTGCTGCTGGTGTAGGTGTGGTGGTGATGGTGGTGTGGTTACCCGTGGCTGGCTGTGGTGGAGGCTGCGTGGGAGAGGCGATGGTCTTGTGGCAGATGAAGCCCAGGCGCTTGGAGCACGCCAGGGTGACCCACTGGCCCTGGGCCGAGGCGTCGAAGGCGCCACAACTGGCATCCTCCTCGTCCGTGGGGTGTCCTGGCAGGAGCGGAGACAGCGAGGTCACTCACCCGCTAAACCAATCACAACTCACCTACTCACTCGCTAAACCAATCACAACTCACTCACTCTCTCGCTAAACCAATCACAACTCACTCACTCACTCACCCGCTAAACCAATCACAACTCACTCACCCACTCGCTAAACCAATCACAACTCACTTACTCACTCACCCGCTAAACCAATCACAACTCACTCACTCCCTCGCTAAACCAATCACAACTCACTCACTCACTCACCCGCTAAACCAATCACAACTCACCTACTCACTCGCTAAACCAATCACAACTCACTCACTCCCTCGCTAAACCAATCACAACTCACTCACTCACTCGCTAAACCAATCACAACTCACTCACTCTTTCGCTAAACCAATCACAACTCACTCACTCACTCGCTAAACCAATCACAACTCACTCACTCACTCGCTAAACCAATCACAACTCACTCACTCTTTCGCTAAACCAATCACAACTCACTCACTCACTCGCTAAACCAATCACAACTCACTCACTCACTAAACCAATCACAACTCACCCACTCACTCACTAAACCAATCACAACTCACTCACTAAACCAATCACAACTCACTCACCCACTCACTCGCTAAACCCATCACAACTCACCCACTCAACCACTAAACAAATCACTCATGCACTCACCCGCCCGCCCACTCACCCACCCGCCCGCCCGCTCACCCACGCACTCACCCACTCACCCGCTCGTCCGCTCACCCATGCACTCACCCGCCCGCCCGCTCACCCACCCGCCCGCCCACTCACCCACGCACTCACCCGCCCGCTCACCCACGCACTCACCCGCCCGCCCGCCTGCTCACCCACACAGTCACCCGCCCGCTCACCCACGCACTCACCCACCCGCCCGCCTGCTCACCCACGCACTCACCCGCCCGCTCACCCACGCACTTACCCGCCCGCCCGCTCACCCACGCACTCACCCGCCCGCCCGCTCACCCACGCACTCACCCGCCCGCTCACCCACGCACTCACCCGCCCGCCCGCTTGCTCACCCACGCACTCACCCGCCCGCCCGCCTGCTCACCCACGCACTCATCCACCCGCCCGCTCGCCCACGCACTCACCCGCCCGCTCACCCACGCACTCACCCGCCCGCTCGCTCACCCACGCACTCACCCGCCCGCTCGCCCACGCACTCACCCGCCTGCCCGCTCACCCACGCACTCACCCGCCCGCCCGCTCACCCACGCACTCACCCACCCGCCTGCTCACCCACACACTCACCCGCCCACTCGCTCACCCACGCACTCACTCGCCCGCCCGCTCGCCCACGCACTCACCCGCCTTCCAGTTGAGATAGCGGAAGGGTCGGTGGTCGCTCCACTGCCACCCTCCGCGCTCGTCCAGCTCGTTGAGGCCCGTCCACAGCGTGCTGTCCTGCGAGCTCGTCAGCCCTGGCCGCAGGCGCCGCAGGGTCACGTGCGGGACAACACGAGGCAAAGGAGCAGCTCTGCACCACCCCCTATCCCCCTGCTCACGCCACCGCCCCCGAGAGCCCCCTCTGGACGCTTTCAACTTCCCGTTTCTTGCCGGCGCCCACGCTTTTTTGTTTTCCCACCGTGTGGCCACGGCGTCCTCGGGACGCGGCCAGAGTCACCCTCCGCCGTGACCTCCAGGGCCGAGCGGTGGACTCCACCGCGGGGACGCGGGGCTCTTGACCCGTCGGTCACCACCCCCCCTCCCCTGGCCGTGACACGTCTTGAACCCAGACCTGTCCACCCCTTATCAGTGCCTACCTTATACACATCCACCGCACCTCCGATTGTCAAGGTTGGTTATGTACGGTGCAAAAGAAGTCCAACATATACACACCGCACCTCCGATTGGCACGGTTGTGTTTGAGTGCGCTCCACGACTGCCGGCTGCCGTGTGGTGCCCTCACCAGAGAGGAAGGCCTGCTCGTGGAGCTGGGTCACGCTCAGCAGCTGGGCCCCCCGCTGGCGGCACGCGCTGCGGGCCTCGTACCACGGCAGGGCCGCCGACAGCGCCAGGTGGTAGCACCAGCCGGAGCGGGGGTCCTTCTGCCAGAAGTGCTCGCACGAGTCGTCTGACGTGGGGGGCGGTGGGGGTGGTAGGGGGTGGTGGGGGGCGGTGGGGGGGCCGGACCACATCATCGCAACCAGGCGACGAGGCTGTTGCCTGATGGGGCTGGTTGTTGTGGTTGATGTTGTGGTTGTTGTTTTGGTTGTTTTGGTTGATGTGGTTGATGTTATGGTTGATGTTGTGGTTGTTTTGGTTGTTGTGGTTGATGTTGTGGTTGTTTTGGTTGTTGTGGTTGATTTTGTGGTGGTTGATGTTGTGGTGGTTTATGTTTTGGTGGTTGATGTTGTGGTGGTTGATGTTTTGGTGGTTGATGTTGTGGTTGTTTGTATGTTGTGGTTGATGTTGTGGTGGTTGATGTTGTGGTGGTTGATGTTGTGGTGGTTGTTGTGGTTGATGCTGTGGTTGTTGTGGTTGTTGTTTTGGTTGTGGTTGTTGTTGTAATCACCAGGCGAAACGTCACGGCACTCACACACACACACCCGTGTGTGCTGAACTCCTAACTAATGGGCACCTTCTCTTGACGCGACCAGCATTACCGGTTGGCTGTGTCGGGTGGCGCTGGGTTTCACGACGCATTTATACTCTGTAGGTATAACATAAAATAAGTCACTGTGATTTATTTTATTTTCTACCCACGTGACTTTACAAAAAAAAAACAAAGAGTATGGATTCCTGCAGTCTCGAAAGCGTCAAATCAAGATCGACGCATTTACATTTACGCAATCTAACCAACCCCCCCCCCACCCCTTTGGTCTTGATTTGGATAATATTCGTCGCGAATGCCGACGTGCTAGACTGACGAGGTGTGATAATTGTTTTTTCACCCTTTTATCTGGCAACAAAACTAACACATTTTTTAGGAGAAGTCAACTTCAAGGACAGTGCATACATTATCAGAGTTATGTTTTTTGTTTGCATTATGACTGCAGGTATTGTGGTCTATGCAAACATGACTCCTCGTAAAAAAAGGTGTCAGTTTTGTTGCCAGATAAAAGGGTAAAAAAAACAATTATCATAATTTTTTTACTGCCAAATGAGGTACCAATAGTGTAAATGCTGACGAGGTGTGTTTGCATTTTGTGTGCACGTTGAACTCCTCCGATTGGTGCGGCAGCCAACCGCACCAATCGGAGGTGCGGGGAGAGACAACAAACTAAACGCAAAAAGCAGTTCTTAAAAAAAACCGAGTTTGTCAATGTAGATGACGATGTAAGAGTGCACACAGCTCTCCAGCGTTCCAGACGGCCGCAGCAGCGCGTCTGGAAGCACCGCGCGACGACGACGATGCGGCGACCACCGTCTCAGCCCGACGGTCCGTCAAGAGCCGCTGCGGCGAAGATGAGCGGACTTCGCGTGACGATGGTTGATGACTCCGCGGCGAGATCGGCAGCGAGGTGTCGTGCTCGATTTGTGGCCCAGCGCTTTGTGCGTGCGGCGAGAGCGACCTTACCGCAACGACCTCACCGCAACGACCTCACCGCAACGACCTCACCGCAACGACCTCACCGCAACGACCTCACCGCAACGACCTCAAAGCAAACGACCTCACCACAGCGCATTCGCTCCGGCAACCGGTCAGGCGACCGCGGGAGCGCATCTGAAAGCGCCCCGCGATGACGATGACCGCTGCGTTTGCTCGATGGCCAGCATTCAATAGCCGCTGCTGCTGCTGCTCGCCCTCATCGCTACGATCCTAGCGGGGTGTGTGGGGGGCAGTGGATGGTGGGTGGGGGGGTGGGTGGTGGAGGGGTAAGTGGGGGGGGGTGGTGGGTGGAGGCACGCCGCCCTCACCTGGCACGGGACAGAAGCCCCACTTCCCCTCGCCGTAGTCGGGGGTGGTGGCGCACCATAGGAGGCCGTCCTTGCGCCCCTGCGTGGTGCAGCCCCCGTACCACGTGCCCTCAAAGAGGAACGGCACGTGGCACGGCTGCCCCTTGGCGTTGCCCTCGAAGGTGTAGACGGCTGCGGCGCGGATCGTCACAGACGGGGGGTGGGTGGAGAAGGAGGGGAGGGGGCTCTGTGACTTGCCAGCGGCTTGAACTTCCCGCGATTAATTCACTGGCCGTCTGATTGGATGTCACCTGTGCTGTCAGTGTAATTACTATTATTCATAATTACTACTGCCATTGGCTTCTATCGTGCTTCGCCTGCATTCCTATCTGCAGTGCGAGTCTAGGTGTCGTCATCGTCGAAGAATGAAACAGATTATTTGTCGAATAATGGCACCATCGGTAATCGATTGACCAAACGACAGAGCTACCCAGCACGGTTCTTGTACCCGTGTAGGCACGGCTCGGTTAGCGGCAGTAGAAAAGCGGGAGCTACCCAGCACAGTTCACCTACCCGTGTAGACACGGCTCGGTTAGCGGCAGTAGAAAAGCGGGAGCTACCCAGCACAGTTCACGTACCCGTGTAGGCACGGCTCGGTTAGCGGCAGTAGAAAAGCGGGAGCTACCCAGCACAGTTCACGTACCCGTGTAGGTGCGGCTGCAAAGACTGTCGCGGGTATCCCACAACACCCAGCGGCTCCACCCCAGCATGCCCCTGAACAGCACGGCCACCGAGCCCTGGGTCCCGCGCCAGTTCAGGTGCAGGTCCGTTCCGCTCAGCGACAGCAGCGTGTCGTTGCGGCACTCCCAGGCTTGCAGGAGGCCGACCTTGCCGGCCGCTACGCCCCCCGTGGCCGCCGTCGCCGCGGCCGCCGCCGGCCGCCCGCCGCACGGCGCCAGCTCCACGGGGTTGAGCTCGGCGGGCTTGAGGGGCCCCGAGAGGCACAGGCCCGGGGAGGAGGCGGCGAAGAGGGTGGCCGAGGAGCCCCACTGCCACCGCTGGGCCGGCGCGTCGGCGTCGCACTTCGCCACCCCCGTGGTGGAGCCCTTGGCCTCCAGGCAGCGGTCGTGGGCCGCGTTGTAGATCTGGAAGGTCGAGCTGCTGGGACCTGTGGAGGGTTACGAGGTTAGTGGGGGTGGTGGTGGGGGTGGTGGTGGTGGAGAGATGGGAGGTCACGAGGTGGGGAGCTCGAGCTGCTGAGACCTGTGGAGGGTTACGGGGTTGGTGGTGGTGGTGGTGGTGATGGGGGTGGTGGTGGAGAGATGGCAGGTCACGAGGTGGGGAGCTCGAGCTGCTGAGGACCTGTGGAGGGTTACGGGGTTGATGGTGGTGAGGAGCAGTGGTGCAGTTGTTGGCGCTGCGAACCCGGCCACCCGAGTTCGATTCCTCCTCATGACCAATAGCAATGGCGAATATGTGAACTGGTCCTTGGCCTCCCGTAGGTTGACTCAGCCTTAAAGGGCCAGAATATTCTTTAATAGGTGCTACTCGCTAACGGCACTTGCCCCGATAGCTCTGTTTAAGGCTTTACAGGCGAGCTTTTGTCTTTGGGGGCCGTCTATAAATGACGTCACGCAATTTTGGACGATTTTTGACCCCCCCCCCCTTGTTACACGGCCTCACAAAAAGTCAGACCCCCCTCAAATATGACGTCACAAAGCTCTGCCCCTCCCCCCAAACCATATTTCCATTTTGAAAATAAAACATGCTTCAAATCGCTTTAAACTATTGTCATTGTAGTGCGTATTTAATGTGGCGCTGCACTCTGATGTTGTAGGAGTGTTGTTATAACAATTAGTGTTGTTATAACAATTCTATATTTATTTAAAGTTGCGCATTTTTATGTGACGTCACATTTCTCACCCCCCCCCCCCCGTCACACATCGTTACAAATGTCTGACCCCCCCTAGGTGCGTGACGTCATTTATGGACGGCCTCTTGATGGAGGTTGACGATGTCGGTCTATGGGTCTCTAGAAAAAAGGCAGAGACTAAATTTCGATTTAAAGCTTTCGTGACTGCAGGGATTCGTATTATTGGATCTTTCGGTAAAGTCACGTAGAAGGGAAATACAAAAAAAATAATAAAAACATCATAAAATTCACAGACAGCGTCCTACATTAGGACGCTGTCTTTCCGACAGCTCTGTTCTTCACCTGAGGACGGCTGCTTGTGTTTTGGCCGAAACGTCGTGAGAATTTTATTATGTTTTATTTTTATTATTTTATTATTTCCCTTCTACGTGACTTTACCGAAAGGCAGCGACTATACATTCTCCCTCGCATACCTGGCCCTCGACACGTAACACATTACGAGTTTACGACTCACGCACCGCTCAGGACAACTCAACTCGACGGTCCCCCACCCAACGTGGCTGTCTCATTACGTCACAAATTACATCAGAATGGGTGTCCTATGACGTCGCTGTCGTCATCATCATCATCCTACACCGCCATGTGGAATTGATGATTCCTGTACGATTCTTAAAGTGTAGAGCAGCGGTTCGTATAGCCGGGGGTGCACGCAGCCCCTGTGGGAGCGAGATGCCCTTTCTGGGGGTGGGCGAGACGTGGCCAGGCCTTTTTTTAGAAGCTAAACCATCGAAACACAAATTAAGTAACAACTTACTTTGTTTCATAAAACCCTGCGTATGTATTAACATCGCACATTGTTTATCTATTGAGAAGCAAGGGGGTGCAAGGCTGCAGTCAAAGTTAAGAACCGCTGGGGCAGAGTTCTCCTCCTCCTCCTCGATCAGCGGCATTCCAGAACCCTGTCCCCTGAACCCTGCCTCGCCTGCCGGAGGAGCTCACCGATCTTTCAAGGATGTGTGGAGCTCCTCACACAATCCAGTTTCGTTAACCCCCCCCCCCCCGCCCTTAATAGGGTCGGTAAACGACAACAGGAAGAGCCATTTGTTTCGAATTCTGTTCGTGTCTGCGTGTTCAAGAGCCGCAATGCACTGTGGGTGAACGCGAGACGGTGAATCGCGACTGAATAACGGCCACGAAGCCGTTCCTTGAAGAGAGCCGCGCGCGGCCCCTAGACGCAGACTGCGGAGTCGTGCCCGAGGGGATGTCCCGCGACTGCTTCGGACATTCCAGTCGCTGGCGTCGGGAGGCCGCGAGCGGGAATCTAAACTCAGGTGGGCGGGTTCGGAGCGCAGCGCGCTAACCGCTGCGCCACCGCTCCCCACACAGTCAAAGCAAGCGGACACTCACTCACCGTCACCTGCAGAGCTGTCCGGCACGAGCAGCAGCTGTAGGAGCAGCAGCAGCGGCAGCGTGCGTGCAGGAATGCCCAGCGCCATGAGTTCCAGCAAATCAGCACTCCCACACTCAGCAGCCTGAGCTGGAGAAAGAGGTGGCGGTGGTGGTGGTGGGAGAGGATGATGAGGCAGTCAGTGGTGGCAGTGGTAATGGAGGATATGGTGCTGATGGCGGAGATGAGAGATGGGTTGTGATGGTGGTGGTTGTTGAAGTGGTGTTGGTGAAGGAGGTGATGGTGGTGACCGAGGTTGGTTAGTAGTGATGTATGATGATCGTTTTGGACAGTAAGTGGTGATGAAGGAAGTGGTGATGGAGGTGGTGTTGGTGATGAGAGCGCGGTCGGTGATGCAATTGTGGTTGTGGTGATGGAGGCGAGTGTGGTGGTGGTGGTGGATATGGTGGTGGTGGAGGCTAGTGTGGTGGTGGTGGATGTGGTGGTGGTGGAGGCGAGTGTGGTGGTGGTGGAGGCGAGTGTGGTGGTTGTGGATATGGTGGTGGTGGAGGCGAGTGTGGTGGTGGTGGTGGTGGATATGGTGGTGGTGGAGGCGAGTGTGGTGGTGGTGGTGGAGGCGAGTGTGGTGGTGGTGGATATGGTGGTGGTGGAGGCGAGTGTGGTGGTGGTGGTGGTGGTGGAGGCGAGTGTGGTGGTGGTGGATATGGTGGTGGTGGAGGCGAGTGTGGTGGTGGTGGTGGAGGCGAGTGTGGTGGTGGTGAAAGAGGAAAGTTCCGATTCAGGAGGTCGTGGATGGACGTGAGTTATGGGGATGGTGGTGCTGCTGCTGCTGGTGGTGGTGCTGCTGCTACTGCTGGTGATGGTGGTGGTGCTGCTGCTGCTGCTGGTGGTGGTGCTGCTGGTGGTACTGCTGCTGCTGCTACTGCTGCTGCTACTGCTGGTGGTGGTGGTGCTGCTGCTGCTACTGCTGCTGCTACTGCTGGTGGTACTGCTGCTGCTGCTACTGCTGCTGCTACTGCTGGTGGTGGTGGTGCTGCTGCTGCTACTGCTGGTGCTGCTGCTGCTACTGCTGCTACTGTTGCTACTGCTGGTGGTGGTGGTGCTGCTGCTGCTACTGCTGGTGCTGCTGCTGCTGCTACTGCTGCTGCTACTGCTGGTGCAGCTGGTGGTGGGAGTTGAATCGAATCGGCAATCTCGGGATTTATAGGCTTGGGGTCGGGAGAGAGGGGGGGGCACATCCCGTGCCACTGTTTCCCGTCACGAGTAGACGGGGGGGGGGGGGGATCTCCACAAAGTGAGAGAGGACGCGGGTCACAATGGGAGGAGGTGCAGACAACGTGGGGTGGGGGGGGGGGGCGGGAGGGGGGGGCACTGCAGCAGATAGCCATGGGAACGCGCATTTCTCCATCACTGCCCTCCATGGAGGCGAGAGACGGCTTCTCCGCCCTCGCCAACGAGCCAGCCAGCACTTAGCGAGGGGCCCCTGAAGGTGAGAACTTCCTCCAACCCGACTCGTCAACCGGTACTTAGCCTCAACCGAGTGGCAGCCACTTGGATTAGCCCTGACCCTAGGCGACGAGATGAGTTCTAGCCGCTAGTCCTTAATCATAGAGCTCGCACGAGTTAACCAGCGCCTAGCCCCATCCTGAATCATAACCACACACTCACCAGGCATTAACCACAGCCCTCACCACACTCGCCAACCAGTGCCTAGCCCAATCCTGAATCCTAACCACACACTCACCGGGCATTAACCATAACCCTCACCACACTCGCCAACCAGCCCCTAGCACCATCCTGAATCATAACCACACACTCACCAGGCATTAACCATAACCCTCACCACACTCGCCAACCAGCCCCTAGCACCATCCTGAATCATAACCACACACTCACCAGGCATTAACCATAACCCTCACCACACTCGCCAACCAGCCCCTAGCACCATCCTGAATCATAACCACACACTCACCGGGCATTAACCATAGCCCTCACCACACTCTCCAACCAGCACCTAGCCCCATCCTGAATCCTAACCACACACTCACCGGACATTAACCATAGCCCTCACCACACTCGCCAACCAGTGCCTAGCCCAATCCTGAATCCTAACCACACACTCACCAGGCATTAACCACAGCCCTCACCACACTCGCCAACCAGCGCCTTGCCCCATCCTGAATTATAACCACACACTCACCAGGCATTAACCATAGCCTTCACCACACTCGCCAACCAGCGCCTAGCCCCATCCTGAATCATAACCACACACTCACCGGACATTAACCATAGTTCTCACCACACTCACCAACCAGCGCCTAGCCCCATCCTGAATCATAACCACACACTCACCGGGCCATAACCATAGCCCTCACCACACTCGCCAACCAGCGCCTAGCCCCATCCTGAATCATAACCACACACTCACCGGGCATTAACCATAACCCTCACAACACTCGCCAACCAGCGCCTAGCCCCATCCTGAATCATAACCACACACTCACCGGACATTAACCATAGCCCTCACCACACTCGCCAACCAGCCCCTAGCCCCATCCTGAATCATAACCACACACTCACCGGACATTAACCATAGCCCTCACCACACTCGCCAACCAGCGCCTATCCCAATCCTTAATCCTAACCACACACTCACCGGGCATTAACCATAGCCCTCGCCACACGAGCTCCAGCTCTTCACTGCACTGCTGCAGACACGACGACGTGCAAAGTGAACACAGCATATAAAAAAAAACCGGACTAACGACGGAGAAGCTGCGGGCATCTTTGTTTTAATTCACAGAATTTCCAAACATTTTGCAGAGGGGGGGGGGGGGGATGAAGAGCGGTTGTCCTAAGGATAGACTCGGCCGCACCATGGGAATGCGGAATTTCCACCACTGGCTCCGCAGGGCCGTGAACAGGAGATGAGCGCCAATGCCTCGATGCTAAAACTGAGAAGCAAGTCCGCCTTGACTGGCAGAACTTGAGACGATGTCAATGGGGAGACACTTAACGGACAGATGAACGTCCATATCTCGGTCTCTGCACATCTCCCACCAACCCCAACTTCCTGATGAAACGCCGTCAACCCTTCCCCCCCAAACACAGGTCGTCCAACAACCCCGCGTGCACTGCCATCACGCGCATTCAACGGCCCGCTGAGCAGAAACGAAGCGTCAATAGCAATGAGCACGGCTCCCATAGACGGGTGAGCCCTGTATGGAGAATTTTTTTAAGATTCCAATTGTAAAATACATCATGCATCTCGATTTAAAGCTTTCGTGACTGCAGGGATTCATCTTCTTGGTTCTTTCGGTAAAGTCACGTAGAAGGAAAATAATAAAAATAAAACATAATAAAATAATTCCCACGACGTTTCGGCCACAACGCAAGCAGCCGTCTTCAGGTGGAGAACAGGTCTGTCCTTCTACGTGACTATACCGAAAGAACCAAGAAGACATCTTGCATCCTTACGGAAGGGACGCTGAGCACCAGCTGTTCTCAGAGCTGTTTCCTCTGAAGACGGTGAGTGGTTTTTCTTCGTCACCCTGGGGTGCACGCAGACCTGGGGTGCGAAATGCCCTTTCTGGGGGTGGCGTGACATGTCCATTAGCGCGCTGCTGCCGCAGCTCGTGTGTTGCTTGCACGGCTCTTCCCCCCCCCCGCCCGCTCACTCACCTTGGAACCGCTAATAAGCAGCTACGTTTGGAGGCTTGCCCTTCTCTTTTCTCTCCGCCTGATGAAGGCCGCTTGTGTTGCGATCGAAACGTCGTGGGTTATTTTGCTTTTATTATTTTCAATTTATTTTATTTGTATTTTACTATTTTTATTTTACTGTGGTTTTTTTTTGCTTTTATTATTTTCAATTAATGATTTAGATTTGTATTTATTTTTATTTATTATTATTTTTATTATATTTTTGGATTTTTGTTTTCTATTTACGTGACTTTACCGAAAGAACCAAGAATATAAGCTAAATCCCCTCCTCTATAGTTACGACATATCTTGGGTGTAAAGGGCTGACCTCCTTCAACGACGTTTGATAAGGGGCGCGAGAAAACATTCACGTTGAGAGCCGAAGGGGATGCGGCAGGCTGGAGTAGCGGTTCAGAGCTACTGCTCTAAGATGACGCTTGGACAGCTACTTCTGCAGTCAACCAAACAAGCTGATCTCTTTCGATTTAAAGCTTTCGTGACTGCAGGGATTAATCTTCTTGGTTCTTTCGGTAAAGTCACGTACAATGGAAATAATAAAATAATAAAAATAAAACATAACACCTGAGACAGCGTCTCCCCGACAGACCTGGTCTTCACCTGAGGACGGCTGCTTGCGTTGTGGCCGAAACGTCGTGAGAATTATTTTATTATGTTTTATTTTTATTATTTTATTATTTCCATTGTACGTGACTTTACCGAAAGAACCAAGAACAAGCTGATCTCTCTCTCCACGTGCAGTGTGGGCACAGCGTGTATCTAACACGTCCGCCAAAAAATGGTGCTCGTGTACGTCAGCAAGTTTCGCTCAACGCCGAATCGAGTGAAAACCGACCGACACAAAGCAAACGAGTGGTTCGGAAGCACACGAGGAAAACGGGACACCGCCCAACAACAACATCAATGACTCTGCTGAGACGCGTTGGTTATCTGGGCTCGTTGAACAGCGGCAACAGCAGCAGCTGATACGACAAATTCGACCTTAATTTTTGAATGAGAATAATCCTTCATTGGGTTAACGACTCGCCGACAGTATCCGTGGGGGCTCAACTCTCAAACGCGTCTCGAGCACCACGTGACTTTGGCTCCCGTGCCGTTTCTCCTTCCAGAGAGAGAGGGAAACCGCGCACATGAACGTGACGGGGATTGTTCTGCGTGTCTGTGTGTGTCCATGCGTGTGTGTGTCTGTGTGTGTCCATGCGTGTCTGTGTGTCCATGCGCGTGTGTGTCCATGTGTGCCTGTGTGTGTCCAGGTGCGTGTGTCCATGTGTGCCTGTGTGTGTCCAAGTGTGTGTGTGTCCCGCTCACGGCCAACACCATTGACGATTATCTGAACCGGTCCTGGGCCTCTCCTAGGTCGACTCAGCCTCAAATGAGTACCTGGTGCAGTGTGTAAACACCGCCACTAGGGAGACAAA